TTGATCACAACCATTTGCTATTTGCTATTTATTGTGTGTTATTTTGTGTGTTTTTCCTTTCCTGGATATCCCTACACTCTATCCTATACATTGATATATTTTACATATATCATACGTGTTACGGAGTGTTTCAGTCTTTCCTTGCGTGACACGTTTTCTATTGCGTGGAGTGTTCTGTCACCGTCACCGTATCTCTAGATCCCTACCGTGCTTCTAGATGATGTTCCTACGGACGGTTCCACTCATTTCTAGAACTCTATCAGAAGGACCTAGTTACCCTTCCTTAGAGTTCTCGTAGGTATAAATAGCATTGCCACTTTGCTTGTAGACATTCAATTCTTGATTCAATTCTTGATAAGTATCATTCAAGCTTCCACTAAATCCTGGACCTGTGACACCGACAGCCTCTTCCACCAACATAGCTGGAACTGGACTCGAAACTCTCGATGAAGAAGAGATGGAGTCTTTCCGCACTCCAGAGGTCGGCATGACCGCTCCAGAACTAGCTGCAGCCATCACAGTCGTTCCTCCTTTAGGAACCTTGGACCTCTCTCACGACTCCAGACAATGCTTGGAGAGCATTTTGGCCTTTTTGGGAACAGGCTCCTTTGACGAAACTGGATGAGCAAACCCATGGGGGCTAACAAGTCACACATCCTTTAACCCCAACTGGAGGGAGAGTCTACATCATGGGAAGCAGCGGATTTGGCCACAAAAATCGCATCCAACATGGATGCATGGGCAAGCTCTCTTAGAACAATCGCTGGCAGGCACAGTCTGATATCACTAGAGGCAGCCGAAGTAGCAACAATGGTCGCAGCATCACCAGCACAAGAAGCAGCAGGAGCAGTGGCAAAGGCAAAGATAGCAGAGGCACCAACAGAGTCAGCAATAGAAGCAACGGCAGCAGCAATGGTCGCAGCATCACCAGCACAAGAAGCAGCAGGAGCAGTGGCAAAGGCAAAGATAGCAGAGGCACCAACAATGGTCGCAGCATCACCAGCACAAGAAGCAGCAGGAGCAGTGGCAAAGGCAAAGATAGCAGAGGCACCAACAGAGTCAGCAATAGAAGCAACGGCAGCAGCAGCAGCAGCAGAAGGAGCAGCAGTAGAGGAGCCTCAACCCGTTTCCCCACAATAAACACCTGAACCCAGAGTCGAGATCGGCGCAAAGCCCTACAGAGCGACAGGAGGATGGGGCAATCCTCCGAGCCCAGACAAAGGAAAATTGGGAGGAGGCCCGGCACAAGTAACAAACATAGCTCATTGAAGACCGAGCAACAACATCACTCCTTGGGAAAGTGCACCTACCCATGGGGGGTAGTGTTACAGGATCGAATGTGTCGAGGAAAAGTTGCACTATCGATCGATACAAGGCGCTTTTATACTTCCAAGGTACATCAGGTAACCAAGTTTATCATATCCAAAAGAAATAGACCCTTCTAGAAATAGAATCACCCTGTGTATAGCCACGCGAGGCTATTCGCTTTAAGGGATTACGGCAAGATTACGCTAGATATAGTGCGCCAATACATCCCGACCCTGGTCGGTGATATAATTATAATAATAGGATAAACCAAAGGATAATGGAAAATGAGGAATAGGAATTCAAATGAGATGAGATAAAGATTAAAGGAATCAGGATAAAAAGAAGAATGAGATGGAGGAGAAAGATGGAAATGAGAAAGAAGTATAACGAGGTCAAACTCTCAAAGGTGGGGGCCAGGCCCCAGTTAAGCTGGGTCCGTAACCCAACCACTGGGCGTTGGCATCTCAGTCATGACATCTGATATGGAGGGGGAGACGATGAGGACGACGAAGGGGAAAGAGGGAGAACCACACAAGGTGCGTATGTTCCCCTTGGTCGCCCTCCTCAAGCCCTTGGAACTTGGACCGAATACGAAGTTCCCTTTGACGAGTACCCACTTCTCTGGCACCTCTCGAACCTTTCAGTCCTCATCTTCTGTTACCGACCCCAGTCGGACCCAACGACGATTCCGCTCCCCGAGAGACCAAAACCATCGTGGGTCCCCCACAGCCTCACCTTCCTCGCCCGCTAACAGCTCCTGAAGAGCTCGACGAGAGCGCAGCCGGAACGAAATGGCTCTCCTCGAGACACAGAGATCACTGCGGAACTCGTCGACCAAGAGTTCCTTGCTCTCGCAATCACAGCTCCTGCACTCACGAACGAGCAACCGGTACCTCCCCCTGATATCTCCCACCAGCGCTATCAGCACACTTGAGGACATCGCGCCTCTAGGGAGATCTGGTACCAATGGCTCAGCCACCCCTCCGAAGTCATCCTCAACAACTCGCTCAGGGCCAATTTCTTCGCCCGTGGTGCACCCAGAGAATCTAATGGACACGAGCTTCAAGAAAGCCAAGCCCCTCGCTCCTGCAAAATCTGCCCCAAAGCTGCCCTTGCACACAGCCTATTCCCAGACCTTCCACGCTGCCCAACTCGATACGCACAACTAGACAAAGTGTACAGCGACTGTTAGTCCTCACACAAGTAGGACTCCATGAGAAGCAGTACACCCTGAACTTCATTGACGCTGCCACCCGCTACGTCTGGGCAGTCAATGTCCAGACTAGAGGGGGAGTTCTCAACATCTTCCTGCATTGGCTCGCTTTCGTTGAGCGCTAGTCTGGGAAGAAAGTACAAGCAGATAGATGGAGCTCAAGAGTTTCGGAGTGAAGAGCTATAGACCCATTTCCAAGAACTCAGAATCGAGCACATGCTCTCCCTTCCTTATGCTCACCCACAGCAAGGCATCGCTGAACGGACCAACGCACTCTACAGACCAAAGTGAGGGCGATGATGCTCCAATCCGAACTGCCCATAGACTACTAGCCCTATGCAATGCACCACGCAGTACGTCTGCACAATCTACTGTCCACCACCACCAATAAAGGAAATCAGTCTCCCTTCTTGGCATGGACAGGAAAGCCTGGTGACACCACCATGCTGCGAGTCTAGGGCTACATGGTCCAGTACCAAACTCATCAGGCTACCACTGAAAGTTCAAAAGGCGAGCTCGCTTGGGCGTACACCTCGGGTTCTTAAACGAGTATCAAGTGTGGACGATCCTGGACCTGGAAAGCTCCAATGTTGTATCTTCCAGGGACGTCCTCTTCTATGAATGACACCCTGAAGCAGTTCTAGGTAGACCGATTTGCCAATCAAGAAGCAGCCTACGCACGAGGAGAACGTAGCTTCGCCTCCCCAGAAGACGAAGCCGAAGCTACTCGCCTGGACCTGGACCCACCTGACAAAAAACCTGGGAGAAAGCCCTCACTTCGACAATGATGACGATGTAGACGGCACCGCTCTTGACCCCTCTCGCGACATTCTACGCCGCAAAGGAATCGGGATCCTTGCAGATCCACAACTCACCGCCGACTCAGACGACGACGTGCAAGAGGTCACCAATGATAGGCATCGCAACCTCGGGTTCTCCGATCTTCACAACCTCGGCCTCCATGCAGCGGTCCACAAAACTCCCTTCGTGATCGAGCCAAAAACACCCCAACAGGCTCTCACCGGACCCCATCGCCGCGAATGGCACAAGGCCATAGACGTGGAACTAGCTGCACTTCACTCTCGAGACACCTGGGTCTTGGTAGACCGTGCAGCAGTAAAGGGGAGGAAGATCTTCTCTGGTAAGTAGGCCTACCGCGTAAAACCGTATGCACACGGAAACATCGAGCGCTACAAGGCACGTTGGGTCGTGCGAGGCTACGATCAACGCCATGGCGTCGACTTCGACCTCACCTTCGCGCCCGTCGGTCGCCATACCCCCGTGCATATTCTACTCACCATTGCCGTATGCCGGCACCTCGACCTCTGACAGATCGACGTCAAGAATGCATTCGTGAACAACCCCACACCTATGTAATACAGCGAGGGCGGTTATCCGAGTCGTGTACAGTTACTTGGGTCGGATGTAGGGAATGTACCCCTGTCAAGTGCATCTTAGTTAGACCCCTTGCATTCTTATGTATCACCATATGATTCATGTATCCCTTTGCTATAATCAACATTGTCAAGTTACATTCACTCTGACAGAGTTCATCAACCAATCAATCGCTTCCGCAAAGCGCACTACGGTAGTTCAATCATGAAGATCCTGCGCACTATATTGGATCGCTTCAAAGTGATTAAAACCCGAGTTTCAGATAGTTTTCTAGGCTAATGTAGGCGGCGTTTTATGGTATACTTGGGGAAATTCTCTAGACACATAGCAGAAGCTTCATGAAGTCTTTATAACTAAGAGAAGTTGTGTGAGTGCCCCTTCGTTGAAGGTGTAGGAACTCACTTGTAAGAAATTAGGAATTCCTTACTGAGGCTTGCCACAAAGCGTACGACTCGAACAGTGCCGAACCAGCGATAGGGTTCCAGACCTTTCAGCTTGAGCCTTCTGAGCCTTTCCGGACCTCGCTTCGACACATCGAGGCCCTTCGATGCTTTTGTATTGTCCTAACCTTCGATGCCCGAACCTTCTGATCCTATGTCCAGGATCGTCCTAGGTTTCTTATGTATTGTGTTGTCTTTCATTTTATTGTCATTCACTCGTTCACAGTTTCGCCATTGCCCTCCGCGCTACTAGGAAGTTCCATTCATAACATCACTGTGATTTGTAACAAGTGATAACAGCTCCACAGCCATTACCCAATCAAATGCCAGCAGCGCAAATCTTTGCACATCCTCGTTACGAGCCGCTACACGTGGCGAGGGGTCAAGCGAGTCACCATCGAATTGGGAGGAGGAGATGACGAGGACGTGGCAAATGTTGCCCGCTTCGCAGAATCATTTGCGAAACTCGACATTGCGCAACCACTTGCGGTCCTGGCGAAGATATTGGCCCCAGGGTTTGCGAAAACATAACCAGCGCCGGTTTCGAAACCTGACCGAAGCCGAAACCGAAACTCACCCTGGTCCATGCCACCCCCCATAGATCATAGTCAACGATCTTCAATTTCAGGCTCACAACCACCCAGCAAATGCTCTGTCGGCAGGCATACACAGCCCCAGCAAACGCTGTAGGCAGGTCACCAACCACCTAGTGTTTGAGGGCAAGGGCTGAACCTTCCTGTTCCCGTTGCTAGCATATCAATCTGTTACGTTCCCCGCTAGGTCAAGAAGCAGAACAGTCGTGAGCAGCACAGGCACAACTAGCTAAGTTAGTACTAACTAGGGTTTGGAGAGAGCCGTCCCCTGCCGTTTTTTAGTTGGAGCGATCACTCTCTCAAGCTCCGGGCCGGAGTCCGCGTCGACCCCGCGCGATTACGCCTGATCCCCGCTGCTTCCCCCTCCAGCGCGTGTCGGGAGGTCTCCGACGCCAGCCCACCATCTCACGCGGTCCCCTCCCCGGGGCCCCCTCCCCATCCCCCTCCCCCTCCGCCCCCGTCATGGCGCCGCGCCGCACTCCGCACTCCCCGCGGCTCGGTGCGCTGCAGCCACTCCTGCTGGTGCTGCTGGTGCTACCTTCAATGCTGCCCGGCTGTTTGCCGCAAGAGATTGTGCCCATCCCTGGCTTCGGCACTCCAGAAAAAATTGCCATGGCTGAGAGTAAGTCCGTCTGAGAAATCTCATAACGAGTATTTCATAAATTATCCACCGATTTTTTTGTTCCTCTTGATCTACGTTAAGTTGTTCGTATTGTGTGGTTTCCTCCTTTGGTTGCTCCTCTGGGTTCCTTGTGCTGAGATTCTCCTGGCGTTCGCTTTGCAGTTTTTTTCTAGAATTCTCTCTCTCTATATATATATATGTAAAAACAAAAAACCCTATGGTCGCTGGATCCCGTTCCTTGTGCTGAGGCGATTCTCCCGGCGTTGGCTGCGGCGTTCCATCCATCGCTCCTCGAGTCAACTTTGAAATCACCCTTCCCACTCGTCCCCCCCACCTTTCCCACTCATTTCCTCCACCCTCTCCACTCATCCTTCCGAGCCCTTCTTCCCTGCAGAAGCTGCTCTCCTGGCGTTTGCTGCGGCGTTCAGAAACCACCCAATCTTCGGGCAGTACGGAGGCTGGGCCAACGTGTCCCTGGGCATGTCGTACGAGACCTCCAGGCCGTGCGTGCAGTTCTGGAAGTGGATCACGTGCGACGAGGAGGGGCGAGTCAACAGCATGTGAGTGCCCCACCCCACGTTGTAAGAAGGCATGGCACATGAGTGCGGCTTGGAGTGCGGACCTCCAGGCCGTGTGTGCAGTTCTGGAAGTGGATCACGTGCGACGAGGAGGGCTAGTCAACAGCATGTGATGTTTCTATTTTTTAGGCGCCTAAAAAATGGATCATGTGCGTAGGAGAGGGCCGAGTCAACAGCATGTCATGTGAGTGCCTTTGACCCCGCGATGTAAGAAGCCACGTGAGCGCCTTTGACCCGGCGATGTAAGAGCCACGTGAGTGCCCTTGACCCCGCGATGTAAGAAGCCACGTGAGTGCCTTTGACCCCGCGATGTAAAAAGCCATGTGAGTGCCTTTGACCCTGCGATGTAAGAAGCCATGTGAGTGTCTTTGACCCCGCGATGTAAGAAGCCACGTGAGTGCCTTTGACCCTGCGATGTAAGAAGCCATGTGAGTGCTGTTACTTTGCAAGAGGCATGACGCAAGAGCCACGCTGTAAGTGGCTCCACGCCGTGCATGCGGTTCAGGAAACGGATCACTTGCGATGGAGAGGGACAGGTCAATGTCTTGTGAGTGCCTTAAAACCCTTGCACGCAATCTGACCAGCGCCTTAAACCCTTGCACGCAATCTGACCAGCGCCTTAAACCCTTGCACGCAATCTGACCAGCGCCTTAAACCCTTGCACGCAATCTGACCAGCGCCTTAAACCCTTGAGCCCATTCTGACCAGCGTGAAACCCTTGAACGCAATATGACCAGCGCATTAAACCCTTGTACACAAACCATGCATGCACCTGAGTCTATCTTTGTGGCGCCTAAACAACCTTCCACGCAATCTGACTGACCAGCACCGCCTTTTGCCCGTGTATGCATGCCTGCAGCGACATGGACAACGCAGCAATGGTGGCACTCAACCCCGCCTTTGCCCGGGGGCGCAAGCCCGGGCCGCTCAAAGGAGTCATTCCGTGGCGCCAGATGAGGGCGCTGGGTAACCTACAGCTCCTGAGGGTGGTGGGGAACGATGTGTCAGGGCCCGTGCTGCCTGGCATCATCTTCCGATTCCCCAAGCTCAAAGAGATGTGAGTGCGTGCGTGTGTGTTTCTGTCTTTCAAGAAACCCGAGGGGCCAGATCCCGTGGGGCAAGATGAGGGCTCTGGGAAAATTCGAGCTCTTGAAAGTGGTGGGGAACGATGTGTCAGGGCCCGTGCTGCGCAGCATCATCTTTAGGATATGTGAGTGCCCGCCTGTTCTCTTTTTCAAGATTCCTGAAGGGGGGCTCCCAGGGGGCCAGATGAGGGCTCTGGGGAATGTGGTGTCCGTGCGCGTGGTGTGTGGAACGAGGTGTCAGGGCCTGTGCTGCCCGGTATCATCTTCAGATTCCCCAAGCTCCAAGAGATGTGAGGGGTGAGGTGTGAAGGTGTGAGGGTGTGATATTTACTGTGGAGTCTACCTGGGGAAACAAATTCCTTGCTGTGGTCCAGATATCCCTTGATACAGCTAAACCCTCGAGGGTTCTCAGAATGCCCGGAAAAATGAGACTGGCTGTTGCTCTCCTGCTCCCTGCTTCAATGTGTGCCACATGCTCTCATGTTCCCGCTCTCACATGCCCTCATGTTCCCAAGTACTGCTTATGCCTTCTATCCGTGCCGTGCATGCATGCGTAGCGTGTGTACCTGTGGGATGCCATGTGATGCCACGTGATGCCATGTGATGCCAGGTGCTGCCATGTGATGCCATGTGATGCCATGTGATGCCACGTGATGCCATGTGATGCCATGTGATGCCATGTGATGCCACGTGATGCCAGATGATGCCATGTGATGCCATGTGATGCCATGTGATGCCACGTGATGCCATGTGATGCCATGTGATGCCATGTGATGCCATGTGATGCCACGTGATGCCACGTGATGCCATGTGATGCCATGTGATGCCATGTGATGCCACGTGATGCCATGTGATGCCACGTGATGCCATGTGATGCCACGTGATGGCATGTGATGCCACGTGATGCCATGTGATGCCACGTGATGCCATGTGGTGCCATGTGGCGCCATGTGATGCCAAGTGATGCCATGTGATGCCACGTGATACCATGTGATGCCACGTGATGCCATGTGATGCCACGTGATGCCATGTGGTGCCATGTGGCTCTATGTGATGCCATGTGATGCCACGTGATGGCATCTGATGCCACGTGATGCCATGTGGTACCATGTGGCGCCATGTGATGCCATGTGATGCCATGTGATGCCACGTGATGCCATGTGATGCCACGTGATACCACGTGATGCCATGTGGTGCCATGTGGCGCCATGTGATGCCATGTGATGCCATGGTGCCATGCCATGTGATGCCATGTGCTATGAGCGCTCATCGCAGCATGTTCCTGGACAACAAGATGGTCGGCCCTATGCCTAACACCGTCTCAGCTTTGAAGTCCCTGCAAAAGCTGTACGTCGTTCCCCTACTCTCTTCCCTCCCTTCTTGGCCCTTCAAACGCTGTATGTCATTCCCCTACTCCCGTCCTCCCTCCCCGTCCCTGGGTTGGTTAACTTGCTATCCGCTTGGAAACCCTCTGGGAGTTGGCCCTTGGAAGCTGCACGTTAGCCACCTGCTTGGCTATTCGTTCACTCCATGCGTGACTCCTCTCAGCCTGCTTGCCTCACCCTCCTTGCCTCAGCCCGCTAGGCGGTTTAAAGCCCCCAACGAGATGCTTTTGACTCGCTAGCTCGCCCTATGCCTCATGCGGTTGCCCATCCCTCCCTTTCCCCCTATTTTTCTCGTCCCCATTTCGACTTCCCCATCTCCCCTCTACCCCTCGCAGCCATGTGAGCTTGAACTGCATCTCATTATTTGGACGCGCGCGTGCAAATGCTAACATTTCCTCAATACGACCCGTCTCCTTGCCACGTTTCCACTTGAAATACAAAAGAGAACATGCAGCTATATCTCCTGTCCCCCCAATACGACCCGTCTCTACAAAAGAAGACATGCAACCCATCCCCCCGTCCCCCCATCTCCCCCTCACCCCTTCCCCCTTCCCCTTCCCCCTCTCGCAGCGATGTGAGCATGAATCGCATCACGGGGGCCATTCCTCCCGGCATTGCCACTCTCACCAGCCTAACTTGGCTCGCCCTGTCCCAGAACCGCATGTCCGGGGTGCTACCGGCCGCACTCGGCAACTTGAGGCAGCTCAGGAAACTGTAAGCCGTTTTGAGAACAAGATTGCTTATCATCAGCTCTCAGCAGTCTCACTTGGCTCTCTTTGTCTCAGAACCAGATGTCCGGGGCGCTCCTGCCCGCATTTGGCAACTTGAGGCAGCTTAGGAAACTGTGGGACGCACGTTGGTGTGTATTGGGGAGCTCGGGTCTGAGACACACGGGTCCCAGATCCGTACTCGGCAACTCGAGGCAGTTTGGGAAGTTGTAATGCTCTTCAAATGTGAATACTTCGAGTGTGACTGCTTCGAGTGTGACTACTTCAATTGTGCTTCGAGTGTGACTACTTTTAACTGTGACTGCTTCGAGTGTGACTGTACATGTGGTCAAGGCAAGGAGGGCAACCTACAAAGGAATTCCATCCTCCTCCTCCCACCCATCCGCCGTCTTTTCCCTGCCTTGCCTTGCCCCTCTCCTGCCCCTCAGTTGCCTCCTCCTTGCGCTGGTGTGTGAGTAACACACCACCTCACTCCTCCTGAGCCTCACCTCCTCCGGCCCCTCTCCCTCTCCTCCCTGCGCTGGTGTGTGAGCAGCGATCTTGGGGGGAAACGGATTTCGAGGGCCCATGCCTCCCCCTTTCCTGCCCCTTTCCTGCCCCTTACCCCACCCCGTCCCCCCACTGCCTGCATTACAACTGCACTGGTGTGAGAGCAGGGATCTCGGGGGGAACGGGTTTCGAGGGCCCATGCCACCGAGCTGGGGCGCACTCAAGAGGCTCGAGCTGATGTGAGTGCACATTGTTTTTGCCTTTCTGATTGATACTGCCGCTCGTGCCCCTTCTGATTTTTTACCCCCCCACTTGTGCACCCTCACTTGCCATTGTCCCTACTTGTCACTTCCTTCCTCCCCTCGTCCTTCTCCACTCTCCAACTCCCCCACACCCTTCCTCCCCTTTTTCCTCCCCCCTCCCTCCCCCCTTTTCTCCCTGCAGCAATCTGCAGAAGCTGAATCTGGGCGGGCCAGTGCCAGCAGCTTGGCTGGGCATGGTGTCGATGAAGCACTTCGTTGCGCCCGCTGCTCGCATCCGAGGCCGCTTCCCATCGGGCCTGCTCAGGCTCAGTCAGATCTCAGACATGTGAGCGGTGCGGGCATGTGGCTGTTTCTGAATTCGTTTTGAGTCGACTTGGCTCCGGCTCAGTCGAATCTCAGACATATGAGTGGTGAAGGCATGTGACTGATGCTGGCATGTGGGTATCGCCGGCATGTGAGTAGTGCTGCTGTTAGTACGTGGGTGGTGCAAGTATCTAGTATCTACCTCACATGCCGGCCATGGCCCTCTATGAAGCACTTTATTGCGCCCCCTGCACTCAACACATCCAAGGCCGCTTCCCCTCCGGCCTGCTCAGGCTCAGGCAAATCTTGGGCATGTGAGTATAACCGAGTGAGTGTTGCTGACATGTGAGTAAAACCGAGTGAGTGTTGCCGACATGTGAGTATAACCAAGTGAGTGTTGCTGACATGTGAGTATAACCGAGTGAGTGTTGCTGACATGTGAGTATAACCGAGTGATTATTGCTGACATGTGAGTATAACCGAGTGAGTGTTGCTGACATGTGAGTATAACCGAGTGAGTATTGCTGACATGTGGCTTCCCATCCCCCCATGCCATCCCCCCATGCCATCCCCCCATGCCATCCCCCCATGCCATCCCCCCATGCCATCCCCCCATGCCATCCCCCCTTGGCATCCCCCCATGCCATCCCCCCATGCCATCCCCCCATGCCATCCCCCCATGCCATCCCCCCATGCCATCCCCCCTTGCCATCCCCCCATGCCACCCCCCCATGGCACCCTCCCATGCTGTCACATTATATCCATGATTTACTGAATATAGTGTAACAGGGATTGGCTGGTGGGAGTGTAGATATGCGGAGGGATGGAATCGAAAAAATAGGTCAAGCCTGGGGGGTGTAGAGATGGGTTGTTGGGAGAAGTTCAGAGCCGGAGTTGCAGTGTTCAATGGGGTTGGAGACAGCTGTTGGAGAATCCAGGTGATATAAGGTTTCTTTTGAGACGTCTCTAAACGATGGGGTTGGGAGCAGCTGTTAGACAATCCAGCGCACCAATACAAGAGAGAAGAGCCAGCGGCTCAGTTTGCCACATTGAGAAATGGACGACACAGCCCGAAGGCCTATTCTGTTCTGTGCCTTGCCTGATTTGCCTTCTGGTGACTTTTGAGTCGACTCAAAAGCCGCCGAAAGGCATATTCTGTGCATTGCCTGAGTTGCCTTCTGGTTTGTTCTCTCTATCATACTGGAATGCGTTGCCTTAAGCCGAGTGCCTGGTAGCTAGCCACTTGAGGGAGGACAGTGTTGGTAGGAGCTTTTCCAAGTGGCTGAGAGACAGAAAGAGAAGAGAAGAGAGGGGGGATGAGGCCAGAGAGAAGTAACGGCAGAGGAGAGCACGGGCAGACTCCGACAATGCCAGCCATGCCATCCTCCCTACCCTTCACCCAGCTACCCCTGTGCCCGCCAGCTCTCATCTCATATGCTTCCGTGCTGTGCCGTCCTACCCTTCACTCAGCTCACCCTGCTCCCGTGTCTCTACTCCCCCCCCCCTCCCTCCCTCCTCTCCCTTCCCACCAGCATCCTGTACAACAACCGCTTGTGGGGCCCGCTGCCTCCTGCCAGGCAACTCTTCGCTCCCCACACCCTCACTCAGCTGTCAGTCCTCTTCTCAATTGCCCTCCGATTTTTCTCAAGAATCACCAATCCTCGCACCCATACCGTGCTCAGTCCCCTTCTGTGTTGCCCTCACTTCCCTCTGAGCTAACTCAAACGTCACCTCACTCCTCGCACCCACACTGCAGTGTCAGTCTGGCTCTGTGCTTCCCGCCCTCACTTCCCTGAGAAATAACTCTCAAGTTTTCCTTCCTGTGCTGCTCCCCACACCCCGACTGCGCTGTCAGTTCCCTTGTGTGTTGCCCTCCCTCCCTGCCCTTTGAGTTGGCTCACGAGTCACCCACCTCCCCGCACCCTGCCCGCACTGTCACTTGCTTCCTGTGCTGCCCTCACTTCCCTTTCCATTCACTCCTTTTTTTTTCTTTCTTTCTTTTTTCCAGAGCTGTTCCTCCGTTGAGTTGACTCACGAGTCATCTAGCCCCCAGCACCCTTACCGCGCTGTCAGTTGCCTGCTATGCTGCCTTCAGTTCCCTTAGGATTGATGCCCTACCCCTCCCTCCCCCCTCACCTCCCCAGCGATGTGCGTGGCAATTACCTCAATGGCTCCGTGCCCAAGGTGCCTGCTGCGTTGTCTATTAAGGCACTTCAAAGCACTGCACTTCGAAAGACGTCCCACCCCTTCCTCCCTGCCCTTCTTCCCTGCCCTTCCTCCCTGCCCTTCCTCCCTGCCCTTCCTCCCTGCCCTTCCCTTCCTCCCTGCCCTTCCTCCCTGCCCTTCCTCCCTGCCCTTCCTCCCTGCCCTTCCTCCCTGCCCTTTCTCCCTGCCCTTCCTCCCTGCCCTTCCTCCCTGCCCTTCCTCCCTGCCCTTCCTCCCTGCCCTTCCTCCCTGCCCTTCCTCCCTGCCCTTCCTCCCTGCCCTTCCTCCCTGCCCTTTCTCCCTGCCCTTCCTCCCTGCCCTTCCTCCCTGCCCTTTCTCCCTGCCCTTCCTCCCTGCCCTTTCTCCCTGCCCTTCATCCCTGCCCTTCCTCCCTGCCCTTCCTCCCTGCCCTTCCTCTTACCTCCCAGCGACGTGCGTGGCAATTACCTCAATGGCTCCGTGCCCAAGGTTCCTGCTGGCCGCCTGATTGACTTCAAGTGAGTGCTGGGTAATCGGCTCGGATTGAGACCTGGGGAGCTGATATTTGCCCTTTAAACGAGGCTCATGAGACCGGCATTAGTTGAGAGTCCTGGGAGAGTGGAGCCAAGGTGCCTGCTGGCCACCTAATGACTTCGGGAGATCGGCTCTGGTTGTGGGGAGCTGGCTTTGCCTCTAAACGAGATTGGGGAGACTGGCTCAAGGTAGGTTCTGGGGGACTGGATTTAAGGTTCTTGCTGGCCGGCTGACTGAATTCAAGTGAGTGCTGGGACATCAGCTCTGGGGGATGATTATGTTTTGTTGAGTCTGGGAAATCCACGCTTGTTGAGTCGTGGGTGGAAGGTTGGCTTGTCCCATTCTCCTCTGCTGAACATTTGAGTCGACTGAAGAAGTCAGCTCAAAAGTCATGAGTTGGCTCCCGTTGAATCGTGGAAGGCTGGCTTGTCCCATTGTCCTTTGCTGCTGAACACACTCCAAGGAATGCCTTGACCGCCCGCCTAGCACTCGCTTCTCGTACGCCACCTTCTGCTCGGCACAATGCCTGCTGAATGCACCTTTTGAGGCGACTCGAACACCCATTTATCTCCCCCCTCTCCCCGCCCACCTCCCCCCGTCCTCCCTCCCACTTCTCAGGTATTTCTCCAACTGCTTCCTGCCAAAGCCAAGCCCCAAATGCACGCGCTCCTAGCCCTCCCCTGTCTTAGGTGCGTCCAGAATGCCGTGCTCTGAGGCGCTGCAAAAGCACACCCGTTGCCGTCTGCAGAGCACCTGCGTTTCTTTACCTCCTTTAATCTTGGTGCCTTACTCCTCTCCGATCCTGCTGCATTATCCTTGGTTCATATCATGTTGTGCCATGCTGTGCCGTGCCATGCCGTGCCATGCAAGGCTTCCCCCCAGCCTTGTCTCAACATCTAATCTCAATGCCTTGCTCCCTCCTCTCTTCTCTCCCTCTTTCCTCTGTCCTCTCCCTCTCCTTTCCCTCCTCTCCTGTGTGTTCCGCCCATCACCATCCCCATCTCCATCACCATCACCATCCCCATCACCATCCCCATCACCATCCCCATCTCCATCACCATCACCATCCCCATCACCATCCCCATCACCATCCCCATCACCATCCCCATCACCATCCCCATCACCATCCCCATCCCCATCTCCATCACCATCGCCATTGCCATCATCATCACCATCCCCATCCGCAGCGGGAATAAAAGAGGAAGTGGGATATGGAGGGTTTTATATGTCTAGGCACAGAATAAAATGTAGATGCGTGGCGAATGCATGGTGAATGTGTACGAGGAAGGTTGTGTTCCAACAGCCCCTTATCAGACTCACCATTTGGTGACAGATTTTGACGATTTTGTGTAGCAATCACTGTGCGGAATGTGTTGAGATATGTCTGAGGTGTTCAGCGCTAATAATGCAGAGGTATTCTTGTCTTAGAGCGTGTTCCTACTTGTCAACTTATATATTTTATATATATAATTGTGTAGGCTTGTTAGGTGTTTCTACAAATGACTGGATCCTACCGTAGAGGGTACAACCCACTTCTTGTACCTCTCTTTCCTAGTCAATTCTCTTTTCTCTTGTCACTTTCCTACCTGGCTAAAACCTCTCACTATTCTCATGCCTACCTTAGCTTCTTAGCTCCTTCTAACATGCTTTCAGAGAAGGAAGATCCTGATGAGCCTCCTATTCACACTTCCGCCATGTACTCTCTCCTCTCCTTTCACTTTCGCGCCACCGTGGCGGCCTCCATGTGCTGCCGTGGCGGCCTCGCCGTGCTGCCGCGGCGACCTCGACGTGCTGCCGTGGCGGCCACGTCCTGCTGCCTTGGCGGCCTCGACGTGTGGCGGCCTCGTCGAGCAGTTGTGGCAGCCTCGCCGCACTGCCGTGGCGGCCTCGTCGTGCTGCTGTGGCATCGTCATGCTGCCGCGGCGGCTTCGATGCGCCAGCACACGGACGGCTGCGGCCAGCGCGCTGGTTTAGGCGCCAGCCAGCACGCCCGCACGCCAGCAAGTGCCATGCTAGCCACGGCACCTCGCTGAAGACACGCCCCCTCCCCTGCGTCTCCCCTCATCCCAGCCGCAGCTGATGGCTCCCTTTCCCGTCGTCGCCGAGCCGTGCCACGCCGCCGGGTGCCGCGGGCTTCGCAGTCGCCGCCGCCATCGTCAAAGCCACTGCCGCCGCTGCAGGTGCAGCTGGCTCCTCCGCCACCCACCACCGCCGCCGCCGTTGTCGTCGTCGTAGCCGCCGCTGACGCCGTTGCTGCTACCCGCCGCCGATGTCGCCGTTTCGCACGAGGGGTATAAGCCGCAGCCGCTGCAGGACATGGGGATGCAAGGGCTTGGGGGTGTTGCGTGTCTGGTGCCTACCAAGCGTAGGGGGTGTGTCAACTTAAAATTTTAATCTTTATAGTTGTGTAGGCTTGTTAGGTGTTCTACAAATGACTGGATCCTACTGTAGAGGGTACAACCCACTTCTTGTATCTCTCTCTCTTTCCTAGTCAATTCTCTTTTCTCTCGTCACTTTTCCTACCTAGCTAAAACCTCGCGCAATTCTCATGCCTGCCTTAGCTTCTAGCTCTATCTAACACTATTAGCCTCTTCCCAGGCAACCCCTTCCCAGACGCACGCACTACCTTGAGAGCATGTTCCCAGCTCCCCCGTTCAGAATTAACTCGCTTCAGATTTGCGTTCCAGCGTTCTCAACCGCATAAAAACAGCTCGCGTCGAAATTGCACTGTACAGATTCGCGCGTATGAAAATAGGCTCGCCTGGAAAGAGCTTCAGAAACACGCTAAAAAATCTCGGCCAGCCTAACCTTGCATCATACCACGCGGAACCGCACTAAACAATTTCGCGTCAAAATTCGCAACACTGTAGCACGCGGGTCTGGAAAGAGGCTGCCTAGGAAGAGGTTATAGGAACATGCTCTTACAAGTGACATCTTTGGATACCGGTAAGGGGCTACATGATACTTGTGGCTACAAGGAGATACTAGTAGAGAGAAAGGTATCGATGTGAGTGGATCCTAGACTACACACAGCAGTCATAAGATGAGTCAGCACCATTATACTGTAATCATCAGAATACAAAGAAGGCATGACAGAGCATATCTGAGCCATCGCAAGTCAAATGCCGGGACGCCATGGCAGATCAGGGTAGGTCACTTCGGTGGGGCCGCCAGGTGCCCAAAGAGGTCACCAAACAGATCGTCCAGGCGGTGAAAGCAATGAGCGGCGATGTGACCCATGCATGTGGCCGCGCAGGGGGGCGGTCTGAATTCGGTACACACAGTGCACGGAACCCCCAGGAACCACGCCACACGAGCCCCCAGAGGAGCCACGCGGGGCCCAGGGCAGCAACTACCTCGGGGCCCAACCACCAAGATCCCCACTGTGCCCAACACTCCCAGGACCCCACTGCGGCTGCTGCCGCTGCTGCTGCTGCTGCTGCCACTGAGGCTGATGTGGTTGTTGCTCCTGCTCCCCCTCCTCGTCCACACCCTCTCCTCCGCCAGCTCCCTGAGACTCACCAGTGCCCCTACCGCCTGCCGATGACCCACGATCACGACCCCGCCATGAGCGCCCCGCAGAGCAGCTAGGTGCAGTGATCACCACAGCGGTCTCAGCCACAGAGGCGGAGGCACCAGAGACAGGGACTTGGGACAGAGAGCAGCCCTGAAAGATAGGGGGCGCCACCGCGCCAGTAGACTCAGCAATGGCGCAGAGGCGGGCCTTGACCTCCGTCAGGGAGGAGGAGAAGAGGTCAATGGTGAGGGCAGTGGGGTGCTGTTCAAGGAGAGCATCACGCGCAAGAGCGAGGCGGTCAGGAAGGTGGGTGGTTGAGGAGTTAGAGGGCGACCTAGGTGGGTGGGGGGGAGTGCCTGACGAGCTGGGCCTCGGTGCAGGCCGCACGGAAGTGGACCTCGAGGTCGCGGAGGTGCGCGATGAGATCCGCGGCTGTGGAGAAGGAGACCAAGTCGGGGAAGAGGAACGGGAGGAGGAGGCGGCCAAGGGTGGCAGAGGACGGGGACGAGTAGCGGATGACGACCGCATCCCAGAGGTCCTTCGCTGTCTCCTACGAGGCAAAGTGAGGGAGCTCGTCGACCGGCAGGCACTGAATGATGGCTAGCAGTGCAGCAGCGTCGCGGGCCCGCCAGATGGCGTGAGCAGTCCGGGCAGCTGCATACTCCGCACGCTGTGCCGATGTCGCATTGGAGGCAAGGGACTCGGGGGGGGGGGGGGGGAAGGGGGCAGCTCACCAGTCAGGTGGGCTTCCAGCAGCTCGCCATCCACACGCTGGCTCACAAGCTGCCGGCGAAGAGCGATGAGCCATGGTGTGAAGCCAATTGAACGGCCCTCAGCGTCCAACTTAAGGACAAAGACAGACGCCAGAGGGGTCGTTATGCTGAGAAGGGAACCAGGTTCCAGACATACACGAACTGGGAAGGGTGCTGACAAGGGTGGCGGGCGGCGGCAGATCCGACAGCAGTGGAAGCGGCAGAGGTGGCGGCAAATCCAGCAACAGGTCCGATAGTTGGCGGGTAGGAGCGACTGAAACGAAGAGAAGGAGCGCCGGGGACTAGAGGCGATAGACAGTGCCGGCTGCAGCTGCGGCTGGCGGCTGCGACTGTGGTTGCAGTTTCGGCTGCTGCTGCGGTTGCGGCAGCGGCTGCGGCAGCGGCTGCGGCTGCGGCGGCGACTGGCGGCTGCGGTTGCGGCTGGCGGCTGCGGGCAGGCAACAGGCGGCAAACAGCGGCTGCGGCAAGCAGCTGCAGCTACGAGCAGTGCGGCAAGCAGCGTAGCGAGCAGAGCGGTGAGCAGCGCGGCGAGCAGCAGGCAGCGAGCAGCAGGTGGCGTGCAGCACGGCGAGCAGCTCGGCGAGCAGTGCGGCAAGCTGCGGGCGGCGAGTAGCGTGCGGCGAGCAGCGCGGAGAGGAATGCGGCGAGCAGCGCAGCGAGCAACAGGCAGCGAGCAGCGGGCGGCGAGCAGCGGGCGGGCAGCGCGGTGAGCTGCAGGCGGCGAGCGGGCCGGCGACGTGCGAGCGGGCGGGTGGTGAGCGGGCCGCGGCGTGCGAGCGGGCAGGCGGCGAGCGGGCCGGAGAGAGCAGCGGATGGCAAGCGGGCCTGCGGCGTGCGAACGGGCTGGCGGCGAGCGGGCCGCGACGAGCTGCGGGCGACGAGTGAGCGGGCAGGCAGCTGGCTGGCGGCGCGCAACGGGTAGCGAGTAGCAGGCAGAAGCGGGCAGCGCGAGCAGCGGGCTAGGACTAGGGCACAAGCTAGGGCAGAAGATTTGGGCCTAACCTAGGCTCGGAGTGTAGGCTAAGGTGGGAGAGGAGCGGGGAGCACCTAGGGCGGAAGCGCGGAGGCTGGGAACTAACCTACCGTAATCTCCCGACATGAATACCCCCCCAAAAAAGGGACCATGGGGCCTGATTTCGGACACAGGGTCTTTTATCACGAGTACCTCGTGAGGACCGGTTTTTTAAGGCTATATCATTTGAAGACCCCCCTTTTTGTTGTAGTGGCATTTTTTCGCATGAGATTTTACCATTATATGGGAAATGAATCTGTAAACGCATACAGTATGTTCCAATTGAATTGTCGGTAGATTCAACTCTCGAACATACCCCCGGCGGTCAAGATTTTGTCGCGACATGCCAGCGTGGCGATGAAGTTGGCATTGGCAGCCGGCGACTACAAAATCCGACACGTGACCTTCTGGAGTCTGCTCTCCCTACTAGGCCCCCCCGCAAAGACCCGAAAACATATGCTACATGTACGAAAACCAGGCTCCTTACGTAATAAATTAATGAACATGGCGCTTATGGTACATTCCTATGAGCTACGGCAGTTTAGGTTTCGTCATTTCGGTGTAGAATCCTCGAACTGCGCGGCAGTTTGGTCCAACTTCTCGTCACATTGCGTTTTTGGTTTGCGACCTGAACGATACCTCAGCGATTCCACATGGCATGTGATGCTTGCGTGACTGGTTCCGATTCTAGAACGTGTTCGAAACACAAAACTCAAAAACATTTTTTTGCTGACCCTAGCAAAATGTGACACCACCACCACAAATGCACAAAGATGGGAAACTTTGCCGCACCCCGCAAGGGATCGTGCCCATCGGCCTCACAAAAAGACCATTGAAGCCTGTTTTTCCATGCGCTGGCGAGTTGGTTGGGCAGATTTTCGGGGCTGCTCTGTCGGGATGGGTCTGAACCAGGGCCCAAAATTGGTTTAGAGGCACCCTTGGGAATTAGGGTACTGCTACAGAATTACACTGCATCCTAGGGTGGAATTTTCAGCACCCTTTGAAAATCAGGGTGAATTCGTAAAAAATAGTCAATTTGCTGTTTGCGTCAGGGTACTACAGTGGCGGAAACAATTGTCCACATGTTTAGCATATTTTCACATTTTGACGAGCTGTACGCTATAAACATTAAGCCTTAATTCATGGTGGCCATACACGTAGAGAGGAGCCGTCAGAGCACTCACTCAAATCTCCTAAAACCAGAGTA